CATATTTAAATATTCTCTCTGACAATGAATTTGAATTAATTTGTAGGAATATGTATAATAGTTATATTATTTCATGTATTATGAAACTGTTGTAATGGATTCTAGTCGGGATTATTATGTTTTCTAGAAAACATAATAGAAATCTAGAGAGTAATTGAACAATTTTGATCGAAATCCATTCTGAATAATTCCATAACGTGCCCAAATGATTTATTATTAGAATAAAATTTGATATTTCAAAATATGACTGGAAGACGATTCAGAGTGACTATTTAGAGATAAATTATGAATATTAATTGTGAAAAATAAAACGATTATTTCTTATTATATCAAATTTGACGCTGTGAAAGACACTGGCAAGTACACGTAATGTATAATTATTACGACAAATGTCTAATTTCATAAGTAACAAATATATTTATCAATAAAAAATAATCATTTGCATAGCCCACTGGTCAATTATTTCCGATTGCCTTTTAGGCTTATCTCTCTCTTTTTATTTATTACTTTTACGTAAAACAATATTTACAAAAATTAATTACAGTTGCACATAATAATTACCAGAATAATCGCTTCCATGTTAATACTATGTTAATTGCACGCAACATTTTGTTGTTGTATATTTGACAGAACAATAAAAGAAAATAAATGAAAAAAATATAATGAATTCTACTTAACATTCACGAATCTTGCTAATTAGTACAATGAATGAAATTTCAATTAGCATTTCGAACTAACAAAATATATGTATTATTGATAAACACGATTAATGTATCACGATTTTTGAAGCGATGGCTACTGTCGAAACAAATATATCACGCGAGTGATATAGCTTTAAAATAGATAAAATTCATTCGCATTTTCATGAGTCCATGCTCTCAATTCGATAAAAAGCGAATTATATTTGAGTTTTTAAATGTTCAATATTATTATACAATCAATATTATTTGGAAGTCTTTTCAATTATTGTGTATAATATTATATAGATACTCTAGACGATTAATGACATTTAAAATTAAATATACACACACACATATAT